ACAGTCATGCTCTATCATATGTAAATATTAAGCTGAACAGATTTTAAATTCCCATTGGTTGGGAAGCAGAGTAATTCCCTAACTTCAGTGAAGTTACTCTGAATTTATACTAACATAATAAGGAGGCCCTCAGTCTCTTATCTTCCCTAAAGTATGCTGTGCAGCATTTTAATGTTGCTCAGGAATTAACAGAAATGTCAATCATGCTTTAGCGGAACCTAAAAATACTTTCTAGTCAAATGGATTGTCACAGAAATACTGAAAATGTAAAAGGACACACAATTCTGATTTTTATAGTTGGCTGCATGGCCATGCTCAGATCTGAAGAGTCTGTCTTGAAGAGTACCATACCAATTGGAACAAAATACAATTTATTATCCTACAGACTATAATAACATCCTTTAACATAGTGACTGTGTAAATAAGGATGTAGATGGAATTTTTTTTGCAAGTGATTAGTAAGTTTGAATATCTTATCTTAGTTTGAATATCTTATCTTAGATCATATCTTAGATGTCAGTGACCAAAGTTGAACCCCTAAATAAGGTCCAAACTGTCTCCGATTGAGCAGCCAAAATTGCCAGTAGTTTCTACAAATCTTGGCTGTTCTGAACCTGAGGTGGTATTGAAGGAACGTGAAATTATTAAAAATAATTTATATTGTCTGCTTGAAGGTCTCTGCTGCCTACTTTAGCACATTTAAGGAGAACATAAATGTAATATATTGTCTTTCTCATTGTGGAAAAATTGAGATTTCTTGTGTACTGGTTTCTACCAGCATCAGTGAGTCGTCTTGTTTCCTTACTTTCTACTAAAGTATAATATAGAGATAGTTTGTACGATTCCGCCATGAAATAATACAAATGTTTTCTTGGGTACATTGTTTAAAATATATACATATATATAACGGGTCAGAAGTGGCCATTTTGTTTGCAAAACTTCTGTCAGAAAAAGGATTTAATATGGCTCTGGTTATGTAGATATGGTAGTGGATACTTTCTGCATTATCTTTACATAATTAGATGTGAATTAGTCTCTTAAAAATGGCTTCAATTGTTTCAGAGATTGTTTAATATTTGCTTGTGCCCTTTTTTTTTGCTTGTGTATGTGAATTACAAAACTCTTCCAGATACACATCTGGTACATGCTAAACTCTTACACCGCTCTGCATGCTTAGCTGAAATTCACAAAGGAAATAAAATGTTTAAATTTCTGCTTTATAGCTCTGTTCTTCAATGGCACTTGAAGTTCTGTTAACATATTTTTATCTTCAAAAGTCAAGCAGCTCTCTAAGTTTCTTACAGCTTCACGTCTACAAAATCATACCGATAGAAAGGCACTGCCAGAGTTTGGGCCTCAGATCTGGTGCATTCTCTGATGTTTAGAATTTAATAGGGAATGTCCTGATCAGTTGTAATATTTTTAGTCCTGGTGCAGGGAATCACCTGTAGGGCTCATCGCAAGCAGCCGTGAAACAGTTGTTCCCTCATTCTTCTGCTTTGGGAAACGTGCTCAGACGGGGAGCTATCTCTAACTGCTTCTGAAGCTCAGGTGCTGCCTGCTGAGGTCCTTGCTCATTACAGACCTCAGCAGATCTCCTTTTCTCCCCACTGGGCTACCCTGCATTAGCACGGCAATGCCCAGCGGCTCTGAGGGCATCCACAAGCCCCCTGTCCTCGGGCAGCGATGGCCTGAGGGAGGCCACGCAAAGCACCAGGACCGGCTTATTGCTGGCGGTGGAAATGCCCTCGCTTCTGTTCCTGGCCTCTCGTGTATATATTTATATCAAAATGCTGGGTTTCAGTCTGTTTGATGAGATTTGTTGTTTGCCTGTCAATATTAATGTGCTGGTTATTCAGACTTTATTGAGGCAAGCGTTTTGAGCTGCATACCCTTGACACAAATTAGATTAAGTAGTGACACCTGTGAACAGTTAGAACAGCATATAGTACCCATGCTTCAGTCTCATTAAAACCCATGAATTAAGTTTGTGAACCTATATACCTAATGTCTTTATTTGCAGTCACTCCTGCCTTGATTCTGTATGCGTAATAATTAGTTTTCAGAATTTGCAACGTACATCCCCAGGCCATTTTCTGGATATTTATGCAATTAGTTTAATGAACTTTGCTGAGGAGTTGCTATGTGATTAACTGTCATTACCTTCTCGGATTGCCAGTTTTACAAATTACCAAGAGATTTCATGTTCCGCAATTAAGTTTTTCTTACTCGCTGCAATAAAGCCAAAACATTTTTTGTTGTTTTCAGGGGGTTTTTTGGTTTGGTGGTGTGGGTTTTTTTGTTTTTGTTTTTTTTTTTTTTTT